TGTGTGTGTGTGTGTGTGTGTGTGTGTGTGTGTGTGTGTGTGTGTGTTGTCAGATTTGCCTGACAGCCATATTAACTAGTTGTTGGGCCAAACATTGAAGAAGGAAGAGTATAACTTTAATGATGATAATGAACCCTGTGTGTGTAAAACAGGTCGTTGTTTATTAGAAGCACTTCATTTATTCATTAATCCTCAGAAGTGTCCTGTGAAGCAAGGTGTAGTATCTCGTTTACAAATATATAAAAAAATAGTTCTCAGGGAAATGGTATAACTAAATGGTTTTGTTTCTACAGCTAGGAATTAGGAGAACTATATACCCACAGTAGGTTAAATCCAGGAATCTACTTCAAAGTTAGGGTCTATTGGGCTTGACATCACTGATTATTTCTTTTGACCTTCCTCTGATAGGAGGTCCCCATAAACATTTGTCATGTACATCTGTCTGGTAATCTAACTCTTTTCCCAAATTGCTTGATTTGCCTCCAGTTGGATTTTGGCCTGCAATGCAAGCCTCTGCCACCAGATGGAATGAATTCTTTGTTAAAAGAAGAAAACAAGTCTTAATTTACCAAGTGTTAATGAGTAGTTAGAAATTGTTATGACTCCATTTACAACAAAGGATATTAGATTATTTATGTAGATTATGCTTTCTGTGTCCAGTCTACACTACTGACTCAATACTATTCCTTGTATACAGCTGTCTTTTGTCCAAAAAGGATTTCTAATCTTTTAGCCACCTTTGGCTTATTATTAAAAAATACATTCCCTCTTCTTTTTTTAAATCAATATTTAATAATATGTGTGTGGGGGTATATGCACATGATTGGAGGTGCCCGTGGTATCACATTACCCTGGAGCTGGAGTTAAGGGTATTGTTAATTTGTCCATGCAGATGATGGGAACAAAACTCCATCATCTCTTGTGATGGAAACTCCATCATCATGTCTTAATTGCTGAGCCATCTTTCAGCCTTTCCATTCCCCTACCTCTTTTATTGTCATTGCATTTTCAAATTCTTTCCACATTAATGGAGAACTTTTGTTACAAGTATTTCTTCATTCAGTCTTCACATAATCCAACCAGGTTACCTTAGAATATACTATTTTCCAACTCTTCAAGATTTTGCCCTTTGTTCTCTGATCATTCATCTATCTTTAAGGTAATTCCTCAGCCTGACACTGTCTTACTATATATGAATTTTGGTGTGTGGTTGGTTTTTAGTTTTCCTTTGGTTGGTTGGTTGTTATGCTGGTTTGATGTTTTAAATGTGTATATATGTTTAAAACAGAGGTTCACTATGTATACCAGACTGGCTTCGAACTTGGCATTGTTCTGCCTCAGCCTCCTGAGTACTGGGATAACAGTTATGTTATGCCTGGTTTTATAATTTGTTTAAAATGAATACTACTTTGCCTTGATTCTTACTGTCCCATCAATCCTTAAGACCATGATAAGGTAGGCTTTATCCTAGAGATGCAGAGATTGTTCAATATATGAAAATCCATCAATATAATCCACCATATAAACAAACTGAAAGAAAAGAAAACATATGACTATCTTATTAGTTGCTAAAATGGTCTTTGACAAAATCCAACACCCATTTGTGATAAAAGTCCTGAAGAAGTTGAGGATACAAGGCATATACCTAAACATAGTAAAGGCAATTTACAGCAAGCTGATAGTCAACATCAAGTTAAATGCAGAGAAAATGAAAGTAATTCCACTAAAATCAAGAACAAGGAAAGGTTCTCCACTCTCTATGTATCTTTTCAATATAGTACTTGAAGTTTTAGCTGGAGCAATAATTCAAGTGAAGAAGATCAAGCGGATACAAATTGGAAAGGAAAAAGTCAAAAGTATGGTTATTTGCAGATGGTATGATATATGTAAGTGACCCTAAAAGTTCTACCAGGGAACCCCTACAACTGATAAACACTTAATTGTAGTGGCTGGATATAAAATTAACTCTAAAAAACAAACAAACAAAGAAAAAACAAACAAAAAAGAAGTAGCCCTTCTGTATACAAATGACAAACAGGCCTAGAAAGGATTTAAGG